TTTGGGAAACCCCCATTTAGAGTTGGAACCACGAACCCCTGAGCCTGAAGCCTAAACTCCTGAACCCCATAATGCCAGGATGTGGGGCTTTGGCTTTCGAGCTTCAGGTCGCTGCAGGGGGATATACATGGAGGGCTGAGGCAGGGGGTGCTTCACAGGGTTAAGGGGTTTAGGGTTTCTGGCTCCTACAACCTGCACATCTTCTTGACGGGTGTACCACATGAACATCGATTTGGAAACTGTCCATATGCACAAACACGAAACCCTAAACCCTTGTGAAAGCACCCAATGTGTTTGCATCTGAGCAGGCTCCTATGTGAGAGCCTAGGCCTGTTGAGCCCACACTTCTACAACAACAAGGCAAAGAAATTACATTCTCATGTCGAGGTCTATAAGAGTTTAGGGTTTCAAAGAGTTTAGGGTTTAAGGTTATCCGTTCCCCCTGATTTTAAATCGTTCCAATATCAAATGAAGTGGCCTAAAAATCCTGGAGGCTACTTTTCTAAGGGCAAGACTACTTTTAAAAAGCGGCCACCTAATCATGAATTGGGCGGGCTCTCAGGTCATTAGGGGGAGTATGGTAACGAATCAAAAGGAATTAGGGATCAATTTCCTAGATTTCTACAGTTTATTAACTATAAGTTTTATACGGGAATCTATCTAAGATGTATATGCGGCTTTAATTGATTCTGATTCGCCTTTTTCTAACACCATTTTAGCCGGCTCTGAAGTTAAATAGATTCTGGCTAGATTTCTATGGTTTCAATGTGAGTCGAATTGGTTTTAGATGGATGTCAATCGATTTTTAAAATTGGGTTTTACTTAAAATATTCATCGAATTTGCGAAGATGCTGAAATCCAACTTTGTTCCATTTTAAGATTAGATCTTAATTGGATTTGATTAGATTTCAAATTGGAGGCAGCGCTATCTGATTCTTTGAGTTTTAATCTATCCCTAATCTATCCCCCCTAATGTTCAATAATTTTCCGGGGCCATCCAATATTAGAGGGGGCGGGAGTGGCGGCCATCGTTTAAATTGGGGGCAGGGCTTAGCGTTACGAGAAGCCCGATACCATAATGTTGGTAATGATTTTGGCTACTACAGCATCCCTATGAAAACCTATACGCCTCAAGCATCCATTCATCCTTGGGGAGAATCTCCCCATATACACCCTCTACAAGCCTCTACTGAACCCTAAACTAGTTGTTTCCATTTTACTGTCCATCATCCTAATATATTCTCTATATAACCCTATATATCATAGTAGTTTCAATTTTCTTTTCCATTATCCCAAGCTTCTACAGTACACGCCAACCTTGCCTTCAACCCGCTAGTGGAAACACTTTCGTTTGTAAGCAAAGATTGGCGTGACCCCCGCAGGACTTAGACACCCCATCATCCCAAAAATCGCATTCTCCCCCGAACGAAGTAATATGGAACCTGAGAAAGGGCCCTTTATGGACCACTGTCCTTTAAGTAAGGGCTAAGTGGGGTTTCAAGTTATTTTGGGGGGGCGTGTAAGCCCTAAACATAGCCCTAAACCCGAAACCTTAACTTAACCCCTCATCCCCTCACCCTAAACCCA